TTCAGAGTCTCTTATCTAAAGACTCTTTGAAGGATCTGCTTCCAAATCATTTCAGTGTGTTACCCAAGAATCCAGTTCCTAGTGGCAGTAAGGTCTTGGTTTCTTGGTAGCCATCTGCTGAAGGCCGTGCTCTTATCCCTGACTGCCCACATGACTCCTCATACAGCCACCTCCTTCCTCAAAAAGCAGCTGAAGAACAGAGTCCTTATGTTTTCAACCTTCTAATCGCCTATTATACTTCCAGGCAGAAAAAAAATTCTTTGCTCTTAAAGGGGCTCATGATTAGAGGTGGCTCATCCAGCTATCCAAGGCAAAGGTGGCTGATTTTAATCTGTGGCCCTCAGACCTGCTTTTATTAGTTTTGGGTCAAACATTCTTCTAAGTGGTATAGCACTGGTCTGTACAGAGGTAACTTGTGGTTGCTGTGATGGTAAACACTGTGGCACTGATGTGTCAAATGTGATAATGGTTACCTGTGTGGAGCTCCCCAATTAAAACAAGCTTGGAAGCAGAAGTGGCATCCACTTCCAAAATAGCTTGCCTCCAGAAACCTATAAACTTGGAGAAATGATCAAAGTTATACATGTGTTCAGGTCTTTCGTTCATAGGGTCGATATGAGTCATCTACAACGATACTTAACAAAAGCATTTTCGATGATACTTAACAACATCCAGCTAAGGTCACCTGTGCTGTTTAGAACACAGTAACAGGCATGATTCTCATCATACTTGTAGTTCTGAGGAATAGACAGGTTATCTTTGGAGTGGGGGCTGAAGGATAAAGAGAGCATTATAGAGAAATTCCACCTATCACAAAGCCTGAGGACTAGTTGAAAAATACATATGTATTTATTTTTTATTTTGACCTACTATTGACAATGAATTGATGCCTCTGAGTTGAGGTGCTGGAGAAGAGTGCTAACGACCTCAGAGATTGCCAAAAGAACAAAACCAGTCTGTCTGGAAGAACATACAATCCGGGTGCTCCTTGTAAGCAAGGACGGTGAAACCTCATCCCTTAGACTTCGGGCATGTTGTTCGGAGGGGCCAGTCCTTGGAGAAGGACATCATGCTTGGAAAAATGGAGGGTCAGCATCAGAGAGGAAGACCATCAACAAGATGGATTGATGGCAACAGTGGGCTTGAGCGTATCAGAGGTGATGGACATGGCACAGGACAGGGCAAGGTTCAGATGTGTCTGTAAGGTGGTTCTAAGTCACAGTCGACTCAGTGGCACAGAACAGCAGACAGCATTATCAGAATGCACTTGTGTACAAAAATACACATTACAGTATTTTGGGCAGGGGCAACAGCAGCATAGCAGATTCTTCTCATGGTTCATGTTAATCAAGTTCTGTGAGCTCTTTTTTAAAAATTATTCTTTATTATATGTACTGAATTACTAACGAAAAGGTCCAGTCTTCTACCCCAAAGATGTATGGCTTCCTCAGTAACCCATTGCTGGGTCATTAGCAGTCAAACAGGTCGACAGCAGTGAGCATGTACGCATGTACGGTGAGCTAACCAGGCATGGATGCATGTGTGTATGTGTCAAGAGAACTGTTTAGAAAACACCAGAATGATAAGAACAAAAAACGGAAACAGTATCCTGGCTGTTGGCTGCTTCCCAAGCGTAAAGTGGGTGAAAGGAGAGCAGCCTGGCTGAGCTTCATGGTTGAGCAAATACTGTGTAAGCTCTCTACTGCCCAGTTGTAGCCACTTCAAAACACAATCTGTACTGGCATAATGGGAACAAAGTCATTTTGTTTTGGCTGAAAAGACAACTTCCCAAAGATTCCAACGTCAACACTTGCTTTTGGTGGTGTTGTCATTTCTCTATTTTAATGACTCTTCTTCAATACTAGGTCTCCTCTCTTCAAGCACCTTGCAAACTTCTCTACCTCAAGTCACAGGGAAAAATGAAAGCAAGGGACAGCAAAGACATTCCCCAAAGCCACTATGCACTGACAGCTGCAGCTAACCTTCAGCCTCTGGACAACATGACCATGGACAATGAATAGGAGCCTGTCTCCCAGCATGTCAAGCCCTTAGCATGGCGTCTGGCCTGTAGTCAATGGCGTAAGCATTTGTGGTTGTCATGGTACCTTTTATGCAGGCCCCACGCTAGCTTTGACCAGGCATGCCCAGAGGTGCTGGAGATGCCCCCTCTTGCTGCCTCCATGGTGGGAAATGGTAGCTTCCAAAATTTACAAGAGCAATTTGGCTGTTATCTCTCAAAGCTTAAAACACACCAACCCTCGAACATAGGCACCTGTCTTAGTTACCTAGTGCTGTTTCTTGCATGACTAAAAGGTTGAAAATAAAAGCTCAGCCTAGGAAGCTTTATTTCCAAAGTTAACACGATCTAGTGCTGCTATAAAAGAATTAACACAAGTGGATGGCTTTTACACACAGAAATTTATTCTTTCTGTTTAGGAGGTTTGAAGTGTGAATTCAGGGTGCCAGCTGTAGAGAAAGGCGTTCTCTGCCCCTTTTCAACATCTGTGGGCCTGGCATTCTCCACATATCCTCGCCTTTTGCTGTGTCAAGATGCCCAGCACAAGCACCTGGGTCCAGAGGATGAGCTCTGTTCTCGGCCAGTCTTTTTTGCTGGTACTGAAGTCCCCTTCTCTCTCTATTCAGGTCTCTTTCCTTTTACCTCTTGTAAAATAAAAAGGTATTGCAGGCTCAGGGAAACCTCCCCTTACATCAGATCAAACTAGCATGGGATAGAGTGTTGCAACCCACCCTTAATACTCTTTCAACTAATTGCCTTTTCACATCAGATCATACCGTAGGGGGATCATTACTGTACTGACATAGTACATCACTACATAACTACCAAACCACCGTGAATCGTGGCCCAGCCACGACAACTTATATTCACTGCACGTTGCTACCTCTCAGAAATTGTTCTACATTAAACACCTAACAAAGACCAGATGCCTATCCCTTGTTCACTAGGACACTGTAGATGATAGAGATACTCTGGACGTCATCCTAGTTGTCATCAACAGGAGCCATTAAATGTATCCCATTAGAAAACACGAGGTAAGGTGATAGGAACCAACATGAACAATGCCCAATAAAATCAATGAAGAAGGCAAGCTGGAGCTTATTCGTAGGTATGACCCCATCATACACAAACATGTCAATATAAAAATAACTAAAAACAAAAAAGTATTGATATGCACAGATTTGCAAACATACATCTACACATATATACACATGAGTTTGCTTCCCTTTTATGTAATAGGGCTTTTTTAATTAAATTTTTTTATTATTAATTTCAATGAAAATTTAGAGACTTTGGATTTCCATTCATTCATTGTTGCTCTTTTCTCCCTGCTCACCCCTCCCCTGCAGTACACTCCCCTCTTTGAAAAGTAAAATTCTTTTGTTGTCTTACAATACCTCCCCCCAGGTCCACTCCACTATGCAGCCTTTACTCTGGACTCCCATCATGACAAAAATACCTAATCACATATCCCTTTTTAAAAAGTTTTCTCCCTCATCTGTTTCAATGCAGTATACATAATTTATCCCATCTTTCTCAGTCTCTCCCCAACCCCGATGTCAGTCCTTTTTTTTATTATTTTTGTGTGCATGTACCGTCAAATCAGATCTGACTGGTACAGGAGGAGATTGCCCCTCCTTCCCCGGCAGAGCATCTGGTGGATTTGAACCGTGCACCTCTGGGATTGTAGTTGCAGCTTCTTGCCACTAGGCCACCAGAGCTCCCCTTGTCAGTCCTATTTTACAACAGTGGCACCATGGAGTATTTGTCCTTTTGTGACTGAGATACTTCATTCAGCATAATGTCCTCCAGGGTCACCCATTTTTAATAATATTGCATGAGTTCCTTGGTTTTCAATGCAGTGTAGTATTCCACTGTGTGAATATACCACAGCTTCTCTATCCATTCATTTGTTGATGGGCACTTAGGTTGTTTCCAACTCCTTGCTATTGTGAACAAAGCAGTGATAAACATGAGTGTGTATATATCAGCTTGGTTGGCATTTATTGGGTATATTCCCAGTAGTGGAATTGCTGGTCAAATGGTATCTCTATTTGCAACTTTTTGAGAAAGCGCCATATCATCTTCCACAGTGGTTGCACCACTTTACACTCCCACCAACAGTGAATGAAGGTTCCAGTTTCTCCACAACCTCGCCAGCATTTGTTGCTTGCAATGTATAATAAATGTTTTTATGCATAGAAAAAAGTCTGGGAAGGTATATACCAAGTAACAGTTAGTTCTGGAGAAAGAGGAATAGAAACTTTGATACTTTTATTTAAAAATACTATACTGCTTTAATTATATTAATAAAAAGACATAAATATCTTTTATTTATGAAAAATATATCAGTGTGCTTTGACAGTAACATATGGAAGTACTTTAGGCTGATGACCACGATATTTGCAGGTTCCCCCCAAATGCTTCAACAGGTATGTATACACAGAGAGAAATCCAATGTGAAGAATGTTAACAAATGGTCAATCAGGATGGAAACTTAGTGTACTATCTTTGCAACTTCTAGCTTTTAAATACTTTCAAAATCAAGCTAAAAAATAAAGATAGAATAAAAGTCTGCTGAGTCCACATCGAAGGCCTCACAGTCCCCAGGGTACAGAGGCCTGGCAGGACCTCCAGGTCTGTGCAAAGCCCTCTGTCCTCCAGAATGAGCTGGAGCTCGAATTCAGGATTTCTGGAGCTTATATTTTCCAAGATTTTCTTCCTGAATAGCCAATTATCTTACAAGATTGAAAGTTCTTAGATTCTGAATTTAGAAAGAAGCACAAGTCTAATCAAGTAAGACTAACTTCAGAATGCCCTCATTGATTCGGTTGAGTCTCATGATTATCTTACAGCCTCTAAACTACCAAGGGCTCTTGTGATTTGGGCCATCTGGCTCAAGACAGCCCTCTCTCCTACGATCCAGCCACAAAGCTCATCTGACTTAGGGGGAAGGTTCCGAGCAGCTTCCCACTAGACGATGTCACCTCCGATGATCTGCCCCAATGGCCTCTGTGATACTGCTGAAGCCCTGCTCCCTAGAACAGGAAAAAACAGCTATTTCAGTCCACAGTGAAGGGTGGGCCTCTTGCACAGGAAGCCCTCCACTCAGCCTGCTCTTGTCAGCTCTATGAAGGACCCCTTCCCCATCCCAAGCACATCTTCACCCAGGGACCTACAGACATTTCTGCCCAGGTCTTCCAATCAGGAAGGGACTCAATTTTAAGATTGCCCAGGTCTTCAGGGCCCTCCCCCATACATAAATGGACGACCTCGCCTTAAAAACACTGCTGCCCTGGAAAGCTAATCCTGAATTGCTTCACTCTTCCTCTTTTTTGTCCAAGAAAAAAAATGATGCAGATTGATTTTCACCTCCTGGGTTCAAAAGGTACCCTTCAAATCCTTTCTGAATGAAGGAGGAGGAGGAGGAGCAGCATCTCCTCCAGTCATCTGAATGTACACCCCAGGTCTTCTGTTTCCCACCCTACTCACTTCAGAAGGGCCTGCAGCTCCCGCTTGACCCTGCCCACCACAGGCGGACCCTGGTAGGTGAGGGCTGTGTACAGCTGCACCAGGGAGGCCCCTGCCCGGATCTTCTCCAGCGCATCCTGCCCACTGCTCACACCTCCAACTCCGATGATGGGGACTCTGCCTGCGGAGGAACACATGACCACCCGTGAAGAAGGCCAGAGAATGAGAGAACCAGAGCTCACACCCACCATGCCCCAAACTGGAGACATAGACACCAGAATCCTTGCCTTGGGTGAGTGCGTACATCTCCCGAATGGTCTGAGTTGACAGGTCCCGGAGGGGCTTCCCGCTCAGTCCTCCTGTTTCTGAGCGCAGAGCACCCTGCAGGCTGGTGGGGCGACTCACTGTAGTGTTTGTGACAATCAATCCATCAATACCCAGCTGAAGAAAGAGAGAAATGGGTCGCTTGCCTCCTGACAGCAGAAGAACCCTCAACCCCACTGTGGAACATTTCGGCAAAGGCTTCTCAAGTTAAGAGAGGCAAAGTCAGGTGCCCATGTCACAGCCCTCTGAAAGCAAGAGTCATATCCGACCTCATTATAAAGCTTGTCAGTGAAACCTGTGGAAGAATCTATGAACACTATATTGATCCCCGCTAAGACATGGGAGATCACAAAAGCCAGAGCATCTTATCCAAGGTTTTCAGGTAGTAAAAGGTGGAGGCAATATTTGAATCCAGGACTATTGGGTGGCTCTATCTATGCTTTTATTACTGCTCTACAATACAGAGATCTAATCCTTAGATGTTCAGAGGGAGAAAGAGAAGATTCCAGTTTCCAATGAGACTGGCCAGGGATATAATGCCCATGAATATAGGGAAGAGAAATAATTAAAAGAGTCACTCAGACATTTACTCAAACATCCTCTCTGATTAATTACATTGTGACAGACACCCTGAGTGTCCACAGAGCACACCACAAAGGCTGCTATCCTGGGCCAGCCCCACTGGCCAATGGTTGGGTTTTTTTATGAGAAGGACCCCATGTCCAGGGGCCTGGTTCACACCTCTCTCACCACCCCAGCAATGTCCTTCTTGTCCTGGGCCGTGAGGTCGGGAGCGATCTTCACTAGCACAGCCGGCTTGTGCTTGTCCGTCAAGGCGTTCCTCTCCTGCAGCACCTACAGCAGCAACAGCCACAGAATGGGGACCCTGAACCACGATGACAGCATAGATGTGACCTGCAGTCACAGGCCAGTGTTTGCACACAAGGCACCAGACCCACACAGGAAGGCTTCAGGGAACTAACCCCCCAGTGGCGCATGGGGCCTTCCCACACCCTTTACAATGGACCTACTTCAGGTTTAAGACCCACATGTAGTGAGATGTATCTTTGTTTCTAAAAAAGATGGCAAGGAAAGACCATCACAAGTCCTATGTGATGAAAAGTCATTCAGTTCATCCCATGTAGCTCAGTGATAGGGATACAGCAGTAAAAGACACGTGGTCCCTGCTGCCATGAAGTTTCATGGTTTAGCAGAGAGAACAATTTAGTGGACAGTTAACACGTTGCCACACACTTTTAAACTGACGACCATGCTTAGAAACACATTTTTTTCCCTTCTATATGTGACAACGTGTTAATTACTATTGAATCTAGTCAGTGCTGTGATAGTCGATTAGAATGTGTTTTGAGAAAGTATAAAAAGGGATCTTTACTGGTCCAAGTATTAAGGACAAGCTGTTAGACCTGAGTGCGCTGCTGAAGCTGGGCCCTGAAGAATGAATGTAAGCCAAGTTGGAAGAGCATGGAGATACAGTTGCCTACCTTGGTCAGCAGGTGGCGCAGCTCAGCCTTTCCCTGGAGGCTCCGCAGCCCTGCAGTGTTTGGACTGGACACATTGATGACCAGGTAGTCAGCCAAGGGGCCCAGAACTCGCACTCCCTCTGCATAGTCCGCAGAAGCATCTGCTGAGGTCTTATTCTTCCCCAGGTTTATTCCCAGGAGCAGCCCATCTGTAATTATCATCAAGATTTTGAGCCCATCCTTGACTGACCAGCCTATGAATATTGCAGGCCTTCTGTATCCACATCTGAACTCCCTCCCCTATGTAAGCTGGCAAGTGTATGGAAACGCCGCACATTGCAGCTTCCTGCTGATAAACACTTGCCATCTCTGCAGAACAACACCTGAACTCCTAGAATGTTTGACCACATTTGTCCTTTTAACTTCAAAATTATGGAAAATGGAGAAACTAGATACAAATACTATTTTTTAAAAAATAAATGAACCTCATAAATCTGAGAAACTGGAAATCAGTAGGCCTGGCAGAAGTGTCAACTGTTTAATCTGAAATATTAAACTTTTCATGCCTAAATTTTGAGTTATAATTAATAATTTAGAACTTTAGTTCTCTTAGAACATCCCCTTAATAACTAGGTTGACCAGACATCCAGATACTCTCAGGTCAGCTAATTAGTTGTGTGACATGCTTATCAATGCCCCTGTCTGCTCCCCCAAACTGTCTCAATTTACACAGTAAGTGAGATAGCCACCTTACTTAAAAATACATAAAACCTATCACTTAACTGGTATTTTGGACTTAGATAAAAATGTCTTTTTCAGAAATATGCTATATGTGAAAGCAAAGGGTGGTCTGTACTTTTCTTCTCAAAAGGTAATTTCCTACTGGCAAAGATCACTGGGACTGGCTAATTTTTTTTTTCTTTTCCATCTGACAGGTAGAAACAGATCTAGCATACCATTAGCTCATAAAACATGTCAGGTCAGGTGGGATCGAAGACTAGCATCTGTACTGTAAACCATCTTCCCGTGCCCTGAAGATCCCTCACTCATTGCTGTCAAGTCAGAACTGACTTATAACTGACCCTCCAGCAGGTTTTCAGAGTTGTAAATCATACGGGAGATGATAACTCCTTTTTCTCCCCTGAGGCCACAGATGGATTTGAACTATCCGCCTTTCATTGGCAGCCAACTCCTTATCCTAAGCCACCAGAGCTCCCACCCTAAGTATAGTTATAATGTGCTGTCAAATCGGAACAGATTTATAACTGACTCTCCAGTGGCTGCTCAAAGATAGGAGCAAGAGTCTGGATCTTTCTCCCATGGAGCAACTGGTGGATTCAAACTGTGTGCCTTCAGGTTGACAGTGCAGCTCCTTAACCACTAGGCCACTGGAGTGACCCTTTATATCATCAGCTAGAAAGTAAATGAGACTATGGCGCTATTTTCTTATAGGGATGGAGAAGAATTCTATCCAATTAGACAAAAGCAAAAATCCCTGGGAGGTATAAACTATTTGCAGTTGACCGCTCACCAAAAGCATGTGAGCCTACCCAGAGGCTCCACAGAACATAAGTCTGGCACATCGTTTCCATAAAGATTACAGGCAAGAAAAACACGCAGAAATAGCGTCAGCGTGAGTCAGTCCACTTGACAGTGACGGGTTTGGTTTATTTCTTTGTTGGTTTGTCCTCCCTCATCTAATAGGGGCTCCAGCTCCCAAGTCTAGCACCGTAAGGCAAGCTTATTTTAAAACAAGGCAAACCCAAGGTGAGTCTTCTTAATGTCTTAGCTATCTAGGGCTGCTATGCAGAAGTGAGTGGCTTTAACAAACTGAGGTTTATTTTCTCACCATTTAGGAGGCTAGCAGTATGAATTCGGGGTGCTAGCTTTAGGGGAAGGCTTTCTCTCTTTGTAAGTCCTAGAGAATCGTCTTTTATCTTCTTGAGGTTTTGAAATCCTGGGTGATCTACATGTCACTTGGCATCTCCTCCATCTCTGCTTCCCTGCTCACTTATTTGTCTCCTCCATCTCAAAAGAGATTGACTTAAGACACGATTCAATTCACACCAATTAAACAGGGAAATTCAGTCAAAGTCTCAGAAGGTGTGAAGGAACCAGGAAAGTTCTTTGAGGAGAGGGCCACCAAGTTTCGTGGGCGTTTTCTCTCTCTCTCTTTTTTTTTTTTTTAATTACTCAATCATATTTAGTCACTTTGAATGCTCCCGATGTTTCTCCCACATACCGGATAAATGAAGATGTCTCTGAAACAGCTAACCTCAGTTTACCTTGTGACAGGTTGGCCTGCTTCTGCTGCCTGGCCCGTAGTCTGTGCTCCACCACTGAGAGTCCATGGCTGTTAAAACCGTATCTGTGAGGGAACAGAGCGACAGCCCCGCAGTGAGAAGGCAAAGAATTCGGGAAAATATTTCCATGGCCATATACATAGATTCCCCAAATACTTATAATTACTTACTTACACGTGTAACTTGACAGTTTCAAAAGAAAGGCAGACCCAATCATTGAAATTCTACAGTCTAAGCACCCTGACACCTATACAGAACTGGCCAGACCACCATCAAACAGGAAGAAAGATTAAAATCTGCGAACAGCTATGATCAGCCTGCCAACCGTGCTTGGAAGCAGCCTCAACTCTGCAGAGGCAGCTTCCCCAGGCCTATCAGATTCAACCTCCCTCCTTTCTGTTTCGTTACTAACATCCAAGTGAACCCAAATAAACACTGCCTCCCTCCCTGATAAGCCCAAACTATCCAACCTCCTGGCTATGTCCCCCTAGAACTTATCCCACAATTGTGTCCCCACCGATTCAAAACTTCCACACTCTGACCCAGGTCAGATGTTCCCTCTCCTCCTTCCAAAACCTTCCAGTCACAAGTGCTCCCTCATCGTGCTAGTACTCATACAGTGATTTGTACCCAGCTCCCCTGGCTCTGGACTTATGCACATGCTGATGTGTTTCCCCGCTAAGCTGGAACCTTTCTGAAGGCAAAGAACATTTCTGCTTTTTCTGTCATTGGCCATGAGCCATAAGGCATGGACCTTCATCTCTCATTCTTCTTGCAGACAAGATGGTAGTCATCTTGCAAACAAGAACAAAGACCCAGGAAAACTTGACATTGCCATGCTGTTCAACCAGTCTTAAAACTGTCGACTTTACCTGTGTTGAGAAGACAATAATAAACACTGGTTGTGAGTCACTTTTAGTTCTTTGTTACTTGCAGCCAAAAGCAGCCTAACAGGTAGAACTGCTGACTGAATGAATAAATAGATGACTGTCCACCCTCTTCATTCAGTCACACGTTCAACAAACATTTGACGAGCACCCACTATGTGCCAGGAATGAGGCAGGGCCAGGAGGCTGAATTCAATGCTCCAAGAACAAGCCCTCCCACCTCAAGCCACTTCTCATCGCCAGAGCGCTGCCAATACTGCTGTCCTGGTACCTGCAGTTATTTGTGGCAGCCAAAGCGGGAACATATCTTGGCCAGTGCAAAAGATATTGATCTTGACAAAAGCAGCAAATAGATCAACAACGTGATCTCTAACCCCTGAAGATTTCCCTGAAGCAAACAATAAAGTAAGACTCACAGCCAAACAAACTTCCCATCCATCAGTTTCCCTAAAGGCCAATGACGGCTGCAAAGATATCAAGATCTCCCCAGAGAGGCTCTACTCAATTATCTGGCCAAAAAGTAGGAATTCCTTCACTTGCTGGAATACTGTGATTAAAAAAAAGAAATCCCCAGGGATTACAAAGAGAAGGGCTTGATGCAATCTAGGAGGATTCCCCTTATTGCTGATTACTGAATTCTAAAATTGATTATTAAATCCGCCCATTGAATAAAATCGGACAGCGAGGGCTGTGGTGTCTATGCCAAAAGCTGCTAGCCATGTGTGACTGCACCTATATTCTGTGGTTAGTCTGTAAGAAGAATTCATACCAGACTCCAAAGCCACTTCATCTCTGCATCTTGACGACACGTTAAAAAATATTTAGGATATATTAGGTTTCATAAACTTTATGGTTAAAATTCATTTTAAATATGTTAGAATTTTATAATGCACTTACTCCATAAGGGACTTGTTTGTACTGGGCTGAGCGAGGCTGACGTCAGAAAACCTGGGACCACACCCAGCTCTCCTATGAATTGTATCTGTGAAGGCAGCCCTGCTTCTTAGCTCTCTGAGCCTCCACGGGCCCCACGGCAAACTAATGCCTGCATCTAAGACCAGCTTGAGAACAGAGAAGCGCAACAGGATTTCTGAATATTTCCCCAAAGCGCATACACTAGACAGGGGTGAAAAGGCAGAGCCCCATCTTCCATGGCTGAGAGCAACCCTATGATGAAACAGCACACAAACAGAGCCACTGCCATCAAGTCAGTTCCTGCTTGCACAACCCTACAGACAAGCAGAAGTGGCCCATGGTGCTCCCAAGCCTTTCACTGTATGGAAGCAGATTGCCTCATCTTTCTCCCACAGAGCAGGGGGAGGATTTCAACAGCTAGCCTTTTGGTTACCAGCCAACAGTGAATCCAATATGCTCCCAGGGCCCCTGCTGCTGTGAGGAAGGTGCCACTTATTATCGGCCCACTGCACACACAGACCTGTTAATGATGGCTTGGTCCTCAGGAAGACGGAAGACTCTGGGCCTGGGGTTTCCCTCCTGGGGTTTTGGGGTAACACTTCCTATCTCAACAAAGCCAAACCCCATCTTGTAAAGGCCATCCACAGCTTCCCCATGCTTATCAAATCCTGCCGCAATTCCTACTGGATTTCGGAATTTGTGGCCCAGCACCTTCACTGCCTGGAAAGACGAAGAAGACAGAGTCAAGGGCACTCCAGGTATCCCAGTGTTTCTTAGCACGTGTGGTCCCAAACACACCTCTATCAGGATCACCTGGAGAGCTTGCTAAACACCCGATTCAGAAGCCAGAGCCCCGGTTAGAGAGGCAGGATCTTAGAGGGCGACGGGCACGAGTGAAAGCTGTCTTTTTACGGTTTCCCCAGGAGATTGTGATGCCCGCCTGAGGCTGAGAACCACTGGGCTCTGGTACAGGCACATCCTGGTGATATTGCAGGCAATGATCTGGACTTTCCAGTACTCAGTGTTTGCACCATTCATTGAACAGGAGGTAGGCACTGCCTTTTCTAACCATGGTTGTGACTTCGTGCTTTTTCATCTATGCCACTTGGTGGGAGAAAGTGGCTAGTTGGTGTCAGTCTCTTGTCAGAGCTATTCAGAACCCAGGGAACTTCAAACAGCAAAACTCTCTAATCAGCCAATCCTGGGGTGTGACCTTTGTCAGCCAGGCTGATAAGAGACACCAGGAATGCCCCTGTCTCCCCAGATGCCTGTGGATGAGCTGGAGGAGAACAGTTCTCAGCTGATCAGACCTGACTGCTGGGCTCCAGACCAGGCTGTGGCTGGAGATAGTTCTTCCCTAGCAGATTCCAGAGAGTTCTCTATAAGGAGAGTATCTGGGGTCTGGTCTCCTCAGGTCTTGTCAGACTCCTGCGTACTTACAGACTCCTGCCCTCGTGGAGGCAAGAAATATAGCAGTGAAACTTTAAAAGATGTGAAAGAAAGCAAGAGCTGTCACAAAGTCAGTGACTGGCAAAGGAAAATGTCAGTGAGCTGGACGAGTAGTGAGAATTACTGAGAGCTCTAGAGGACTCAGGCACGAACTCCTTTGAGAGGACCGGCAAGGGTCTCCTAATGCCAAGATCTGAACCTGGAAGCAGAAGTAGAAAGGGCACTCCAAGAATGGCGGGCAATACAGATGAAAATAAAAGGGTGTAAGCGTACACCTCACAGGTACTATGAGGCACAGCTGGGCGGCTGACAGGTCATGGCTGACAGCAGCTCTTAGCCCTGTTGCACGTCATAGTCCCATGGGGATATCAAGGCTTTGGGCCCAGAGATTCTAGTTAATGGGATCCTACACAGGGTCTAAGCTTCTCTAGACCCCCAAAAGCATTCCAGGTGACTCCTGGGTGCACCAGGGTCGAGAAGTACAGATCTCAGGGAATGCTGAGGAACTAAAACTGCAAAGTGCAGGTGAAATGAAATTATGAAGCATCTCAGCCTTTCAGAGACCTCAGGGAAGCAGAGCCAAAGGGCAGAGCTGCTAGGATCAGCCCCCATTGAGTTGAATCCTGACTCTGCTGCTTCCTAGACTTTAGCAAGTCGCTTAACTGCTCTGTGCCTCAGGTTCCTAACTTGCAGATGATGTAGGACTTCTCTCATGGAAGAGTTGTGAGGATTCAATGAGAAAAATAAGGACCACAGTAAGCCCCACCGAAGACGAAGACGTAGAGATAATAATTACTATTATTGTTGCTGGGATTGAACTGCACAGTCCCACTGCTAACCTGGGGCTCCAGTTTTCAAAACGCTCCCAGCTGAGTCATTAGGGGACAAACGTCACTCCTCATCTTGTATCTAATGCCCAGGTGTTTGGGGAGCACCTACCAGCATGTCAGAATCTTGAAATGTAGCACGAGGAAGGAGCCCCAGCGAGGTAAAGCGAACAGCCAGCCTGTGGGCAGACTCGGGGTCCAGCAGTCTCTGCAGAGTTGGCATCAAGTGTTCAGCATAGAAGTGCTCATCCCCTGTGGAGGTCAGGTAGGAGGCAAACAGAAGGCCTCCGCCCCCCAGGATGATCACAACATCCTGCATCCGCTTCTGTAAAAAAAAAAAACCAACAGCACACCGGAGGCCTCAATGCCAGGCTCCAGCACCGTCCTGTACACACACAGACAGAGGACATGGCATGGCACATGAGTGATGTCCCTCGCCACCTTCTGATCCTGGTTTCCTTCATGTCTAGTCTCACTCACATAGCGACTTCTACAGTCAGAAGCTGGGTCTACCCTGTGCTGAGGCACACTCACCTGTGGTGCAGAGAGTTTTCAAGAGGGACATGCTGCCCTCTAGGGAGCATTTGAGGACATTTTTACTGGTGACAATTATGTGCCAGCAAGTCTGAAGGGGCTCATGGCTGAATCACATAAGAGGAAACTGCTCATCTGTCTCCTTTGAACCACGGCACCTAACATCCACAACACGCTTTGAGTTGGCAGTGCAACCCCTTACCTATGGGGCAAATTAGTTCAGTTGGATTTCTGCAATGCTTGAAGGAGTCAGGCCCAGGAGTTGTCCCATTTTCTGTATGACTTTTGAAAGCCACACAGAGGTTAAGAGAGAGGGGGGAAATCTGTTCTTATTTAACCATACAAGATTAAAAAGGCAGCATTTGCTCAGGAATAAAACTCAGAAGGCAAAAAGGGACAGGAGAGAAGAATGACTCGCTGGGGAACAGGGAGAAGTGAGAAGAATGATGTTAGGACGTTGGGATTATCATCAATGTCATGAAAACTATGAATTATTGATAGGAAAACTAGTTTACCCTCTCAACATTCACTCCAACCACAATACAAGTTTTTAAAAATCTTAAATTGTCAGAGCACAGAACTGTGTTTCACCACACAAATATACAATATCATCTGTATGGTTTTTGTATCTACTGACTTTCCAAGGAATGCAATTACTTTGTAAACTGAGGAACAACTGTACAGTTTTGTATAGAACTTTACCAAGAACTGGTAAGTTTCAGAAAATCATGGTACAGTGCTTGGAGTGGTAAGTTAAAAATGTAGTATATTTGTTGATGACAAGGCCATTAAGTCAATTATGATACAGCAACTCCACAAAACAGAACAGAACTGCCCCACAGGATGTTTAAGATGCAGTCTTTACAGGAGCAGATTACCAGAGCTTTCTCCTATGGAGCAACTTGGTGGGTTCGAACTGCCAGCTTTGCATTTAACAGTAAAGAACTTAACCATTGGAAGCTCTGGTGTCCTACTGGAAAGAAGCTGCACTGTAATCCCAGAAGCACATGGTTCAAATCCACCAGATTCCCTGCTGGAGGAGGAGGGGCAATCTCCTGTACCAGTTGGATCCAATTTGACGGTACACACAAAATAATAATAAAAAAAGAAAAGAAAGGAAAAGAAAAAAAGAAGTTAACCATTGTACAACCAGGGCTCTTTAATATACCTGAAGCACTCAAGTTTCCAGGAACGAGTATGTAAGATAGACCATCTCAATATCCGGGGAGTGATGACTCAATATTTGCATACTAAAAGGCACATTTTACTACAAATCACCTTCATTTAATTTCTCCTTAGAGCCAAGCAAAATATGAAATAGTATCAGGTCTTAATGGGTGGGGAACCACTAGCCCATCCTTGAGCCACAGTGCTTTTCTCATGTCATCACCATACATGGTGAGTCCCTCATTCACTTAGCAACTCAATCATTTGTCAGATAATTTTGAAACTTCAAGGTGGGCAAAACAGAACTGATCACCTGCCCTTCAGGAGCATATACTCCGTAAGACATTTGGGAATCAGTGATCATGCAACTCTATAAAGGTGAGGATCAATAATAAAGAAAAAACCAAACCCACTGCCCTTGAATTGATTTCTAACTCATAGTGACCCTGAAGGTCACGGAGCAGAACTTCCATAGGCTTTAAATCTTTAAGGAAATAAAAGGCTTCATCTTTCTTTTGTTGTGCTTAGTGGATTCAAACTGCTGATCTTTTAGTTAGCAGTCCAGTACTTAATCCACTATACCAACAAAGCTCTTTATAGAAAGTACAGCATAATAGATAGACCCAATAAAAGAGTGAGATGAGTCTCAGAGAAGGAAAAGGCTTCATTCATTGCTCCAGTGCCTTAAAGCTGACATGTACAGGTATTAACTAGAAGGGAGCTGGGGGGGTGCAGAGAGAATGGGGAAGCACAGTTTCCCAGGGGGAAAAAGTGTAAAAGTTCTCAGTAGTATAAGAGAATGTAATCTATGGAAGGGGATTGGGACTGGGATGGAAGGGGGAGGTCTCTTTAGAATAGAGGAGTGAGGGAACGTCTGCCTTAAAATGAAGCTAGAGATACGTTAGGGTATTGGCAGAATATTTATATTTTCATCCCTAAACAGAAAAGTGACACGATCGGGTTTGTATTTACGGATTATTCTAGCTGTTGATGTAAACCGAATAGTAACCTCAGTTCTAGTAGACTCCAGCACGTGTAGGGAAGCCCTCTCTGCCAATCAGATATTTGAGCTTGGAGTCGTTTATCCATCGGAACCGACTCCAAGGCAACTGACCAAAACGACAACCAGGAGCTAGGTCTGGGGATATAAGAACGCACACGCCACATCAAGAGCCGTGTCCAAGCAAGACTTTAGAACTGGGACAATGTCATTCTAATTCATTCCACAATGCACCAAGCACACACCATGCTAGTAAGGAATTTATCGAGCGCACCGTGCCAGGCTCAATAAAAATTTGTCCCTCCTGTCCTGACACAGGGATCAGCAACGACCTGTCCTGGTAAGTGCTCTTTCACAGACAATTTCTCAAGTAAACTTGCAAATGCACGTTTACACAAGCTTTTGCAGATACCCTTAGATACACAAACATCCGCAGATGGCCCCAGGCTCTTGGGAGTCTCCTTACACCTACACCTCGCCTCGACCAGCCCTTTAGACTCCCCTTCGCCCCACTGTAAATTCTGATTTTCCCTCGCTGTCGCAGGAACCCCACTTTCGGAACTCACCTTGAATTGATTCCACGCCATGCTCATTCTAAGGGCCACCCCCTTCTGGCTTCCATTAGAGAAAATACTAGTAGCCCCGCCCCGGAACTGTCAGCCTACCAATCACAAAGGTGGTGGGTAACCAATTCTGGTTCCTCCAGGCCCCGGATTGCACGAGCACTTCCAGGCGTGGGCAAAGGGAAGGGCCCGCCTCTTCCGCCCGCCAACCTGCGTCCGCTTTGGGTTGCGCGGTTCTGTCAAGTTGGGCGGTGGGAGAGAACTGTGTTGGCGCCTGCAGCCTTGAATCCAAGTGCCCGTGAAGACCCGAGGCTCAGTGAGGAGGCAAAGGCCTCTAGAAGCCCCTGAACTGACAGAGAACTGTCTGACGTCTCCAAGAATAAGGGGACATTGTTACAAGGCTTCAGACCCAGATCTCCTAGTGCTTGTGATGGTGAGTGGAAGGCAAACATAATTTGTAAGTGTAGGACAGAAGTAAAAGTTGCTTGGATGAGGTCCTTTAAGCTGACTAGCCACTTCTAAGACTCTTATACCAGCAACTAAAGTTTTACAATCAAGAAACCCAGATGTAAAAAAACCCCAACAAACCTAGGCATCTCAAGACCAGGAACACACCCTAGATGAGTAACCTGGACTCTCCAGGTGTTCCCCTTTTAACAATCTTTAAGAGTTTACAAGTGCCATGCCGGTGTGTCACCTGGTGGGAGGCAGCCAACTTGGAAGAGTGTGTTCCAGGTGACCAAAAATACACTAGAGAGGGGTCTTGCCTGCCAAACAGATACCAAATCTATATTGAGGGAAGTGCAACCAGGTGTTCCTTATAGGCAAAGATACTGACTCTTGGCCTCATATACTTTAAGCATGTTGTCAGGAGGGGTGATTGTTGTTAGGTGCCATCTCATTGAGAACAACTCATAATGGAAACGTCTTCTGGTCGGCCCCCACCAGGTTCTTGCAACACTATTCTTCCTGGTCAGTAAGTTTCCTGTCCCAATAAACTTAGGTCTTTCAGGGAACTCTGGTACCCTAGTGGTAAAAAACTGCTCTGCAATCCCAAAGGCACGCAGTTCAAATCCACCAGCTGCTGCGCAAGAGAAGGATGGACAGTCTCCTCCTATGTGATTGACTGCCTCTGAAAACCTGCTTGAGGGTCAGCTGTCGGTTAGTTCTGACTCAAGGACACACAACCACGTCTTTTAGTCTGTCTCCGGGTCAGTTTTTCAGTCTGTAAACACAAACCTTGAGAGACTTTCTCTCTGGAGTAAAAAAATCCCAGATGTGCAGGTGATTAAAACTGGAGATAAGTTGAGAGAGAGGCCACACTGAACGTTTCCCCCTTTTCGTTTGGGTTGATTCATCATCTAGCAAGTATTTGACATTGGCAGCATCTACAAACAGAAAAATTATTGAAATCACAGAGAAAGTTCTGCCTTCCTGCTTCCTGGAAGGGTCTGCAGTGTTGTCAGAGTTTGTCTGCAGATTGGTTGCCCAGCTGTTGCCTCAGTACCCAACTCTGTCATCAGTGCGTACAAGTGTGTCCTGGCCTTGTCTGTGGAGACTGAAGACACCTTCCCACTGGCCGCCTTGGCTGATCAGCATTCGTTGCTGCTGCTCATGCTGCTGCTGCTTAGGCCTCAGTTAAGTCTGAAGGAAAGGAGGATGTGGAATTTGGTCTCTTTGACTAATAACCAAAAAGTAGCCAACTTGTAAGACAGGTAACCAGCTGTGTGAAACAAGGAAATAAAGGCTTCATTCTCTTTTTAAAAAAAATTGAAAGACATGAAAACATTTTCATGATTTCCTATGTGGTGGGCCAAGACAGGCTAGGTTCTGTTCTGCTTTAAAAATTAGAACACAGTGCTGACTCTTTGGTGGAACTGTACTAGCACTTCCTGCATTTTAGGCTGGAAAAGTTCAAATACCATTTTCAGGGGTTTTTTTCCAATTTACCCATGTAGCTGTGTCAAGAAGGAAATTCCTTCCTGACATCTCCATTAGATATTAGAATTTTTAAATAGTCTTCTCTATGATAGGACCTTTCACTTCAGAGCCATTTTTATTAAGACTCGAATTCAGCCAGAGTCCAGAGAATTGCCTGGTTTCCCAAGAGTGGGAAGCCCACAGATGAAAAAGGAGGATTGCAACAGGCAAGGAAGCAGTAAGAAAAGCTAACATTTCTTTAATAAATATTTTAAAAGGGCAGAGTCTCCTTTTAGTCTAGAAGGACAATTCCAAAGAAAACCTCATTATCAAGTTTAAATTCTTTAACTGTTGTGATTTGTCTCTCCACCCTGCAAACTAGTGGAGCATCAGGCCCATCTGTGAGGATGTTATTATGCCCCGGCCCGGGTGGATCTTCAACGGTGACCCTAGGAGGGGAAGAAAGAGAATGGGGGGGAGGGCAGGAGGCACAAAGCAGGAAGACAAGTCAAGAATCTCCAATCAAGTCTTCATTTTATTGAAAGCGTTCACAGTTTATATATAGGAACACAATGGGGAGAGGAGAAGTACGCAATGGGGGAGAATAACATGTTATTTCCAGTAAGCTGAAAGTTATCAGGTGAACAGAAACTTAGCAGGGTGGTCCCAGTAAACCGAAACCTATCCTCTCAGGGTGGGGTGAACCAAAACCTATTCTCCCAGGGAGGGGCAACATGTCCAAACATGTTCTTAGAGAATTACAAAATGGCTTCAGCTAGGTAGAACAAGCGGTTCGGCTCCCAGCAGATCCTCCCTTCTTTAAATAATTATTTGAAGACTGCAAAAGTGCACAGGATTACCTTTGGTGCTCTCCTGTTTGACCAGGTATGAAACCGGCACCTGTCTTAGGTTGGACACCGCACCTACTGATCTTACTCGTCGTGGGCTAACCCAGCAGCTAGGGCAGGGCGCCTGTCTTAGGTTGAAACAGGGGCCGGTGTCTCTTACCCATCTTTGGCTGCTCAGTTTATTAGCCTGTATCATCAAGGATTTTCTTTATCGGCCATTTGCAGTTTTTGATAATGGACTTGTATGGGACGGGAGGCTATGGATTCGACCTGCTGCTTGATAAAACATGTAAGCCTCTGAATTGCCCAGGAGCCAAAAGAAATAAGCAAAAGAAAGCCTATTAAGGACCTCCAAAAGGAGTGACTGGTCTTTGACCACATCCCCTTAACTTTTAGGCCATAATTGATTGATTATACATTCTTTTGCTTTAAATTTTTTGTCACAATATGCACTAACCCAATTAAAAACTTAGCCGTGTGGACTTCTTGTGTTGAAGCTACAGCAAAAGTA